TGGAAATCGTCGGAGGTTCGCTGCACTAGTGCTGAACGGCCGTGCATGTTGAACCAAGAAAGCGGGGCATTGATGCGGCACTGAGTGAGCACGAGATTGCACGCTGTTGCACGCATGCAAACCCGTGCTGCACGCACTGCACGCGTTCAAACAAGTGAAAATTCGTGCTGCATTGTATTTTGTCCAGTAAAGACCGGTATATACACCCTCAAGTGACTTGAAAGCGACCACAAGGATATGATGCTTCATAAGATTCCCTTGTTCAACTGTTCAACTGTAAGTTGAATAACGTTGCGTTGGCGGGCTTACGTCATCGGGTCGCGATCACCGAGTCACGTTGTTGCGCGCCGACAGCGTTGACGGTCGTCTCTACCACACAAATTTGGCTGTCGCACTGAGACGCAGATTTACTAGCTGGCCGTTCACTCTCAGGTCCAGAGCTCTCGGTCGGGTCCTTGTCTGCGGATGCATTCTCTCCGTCACTTTGAGCGGCCTTTTCGACTCACCTCGAGTCAGAACAGAATTTACGCCCGCTCTGGCTCCAGAAAAATATATTCTACCTCTACAAATGCCTCAGCCAGTGTCCTGGTCCTCCACATCCCGAAAGCAAATCTCTACCGCTTCGGCGACGCGACAAATCGTGCTACCCCCGTTTTCTGCGATCTCGCATGGTCAATAAAACCAAATGAAAGCTGGGCTGTAGTCGGATCTGGCTCGGGCGAAAAATCCTCTATGTTCGATGTGGGTTCCAGTCCGGACCTCTGGTCGAAGTCCCTCGGTCTAATGGCTCACAGATGCTGATGGGGCACCTTCGGATACACCCCCCTCCACCGCCGCCTGCGGGGCTGTTTCCCTTCCTCTCCGACGCTGCAGAACAGAGGGACCCGCACGATTGTGTGTCCATGGTGTCGTTTGCAAATCGGCGCTCTGCTGGAGGCGCGTTCTACGACTATACAGCGCGCTACGGCGCGGTGCGGGAAGAAGACCGCATAACGCTCAGACAAAGCATGTTTCCAGAGACGATCCACGATCTCAAGTCTCAGTCGCGCATCGCAATCGAGCCGCCGTCCACGGACCACAAGCTTTTTGATTATCTCGTCCAGAAGATGGGACTCGCCGACTTGCTCGACCTGCCTCGAATCGCACTCAGCAATGGGCAGACACGGCGCGCGCGTATCCTGAAGGCGCTGCTGGCCAAACCGCGGCTGCTTCTCCTCGACGAGCCCCTCAGTAAGTACCCCAGTTCTCTTGTGCTCAAACGGCTGCTGACGGACCTTCTGCAGCGGGCCTGGACGTCGAGAACCGCGCGACGGTGCAGGCCATTCTTCACGAGCTCCACGCCGCGTGTAACCCGCACATCATCATCGGGCTTCGCATGCAGGACGCCGTCCCGGACTGGATCACCCATCTCGCGGTCGTGAATGACGGGCTGGTGAAGACGGGGCCGAAGACCGAGATGCTCGATTACAAGGATGAGCTACAGAGAGTGGCTAGCGCGCTCGGGGAGCCAATACGAACTGCGGCGTCGACGCCGAGCGCTGGCGAGCCGGTGGTGGAGATGAAGGGCGTCAGCGTCACGTACGGGCCGCGAAAGGTACTCGCTTCCATCGTCGTTCTATCGTATCCCTCTCATCTCCCCACGTAGGTCCTCAAAAACATCAATTGGACGATCCGGAAAGGCCAGCGATACCACCTCCAGGGCATGAACGGTCCGTTTCCAATCTCTTCTCGATTCTTCATGCCGACGCTGACGTCTCACCAAGGCTCCGGCAAAACCACGCTCCTCTCCCTCCTGACCGGCGACCACCCCCAGTCATACACCCAGCTGGGGCCCTCACGCCACCTCCGCCTCTTCGGGACGCCGCGCCCGCGCCTCGCAACGCCCCACATCCACGCCCACATCGGCGTCGTCACCCCCGAGCTCTTCGACGCCTTCCCGCGGCACGCGCCCGGCATGTCCGTCTGGGACGTCCTCGCCACGGGCTTCACAGGCGGCTTCGTCCCCCCCGGCGGCGTGCGCGGCGTCGGCACGGAATTGATCCTCGACGAGGAGGCGCACCGCGTGCACCGCTGCTGGGCCGTGCTCGCCGCGCTCGGCCCCCTCGCGTGGGATGGCGCCCTCACCGCCGCGCACGCGCACTCCCCTCACCTCCACCCGCAGCTCCGCGCCTTCGCAGACACGCGCTTCCGCGACCTGCCCGTGGGGGCGCAGCGCATGGTGCTGCTGATGCGCGCGCTGGTGGGGCGGTGCGCGCTCGTGCTGCTGGACGAGGTGTGGAGTGGGATGGACGCAAGGATGGTCGCGGCGGCGCGCGCGTACCTGCGCGGCGGGGGCTTGGGGCCGGAGCAGGCGGTCGTGGTCGTGACGCACTTGGCGGACGAGGTGCCGTGGGGGGACCGAGACCGGGTTGTGCGCGTGGTTTTGCGGGATGGGGAGTTGGAGGGGGCGGAGGCGGGGGAGTGATCTGGGTAGATCGTGACGTGTCGAGAAGATATCGCGGACGAATGCACACCATTATACCACCTTGCGCAATCTAGCGGGCTGAAGACCGTCGACCCGCTTTCGGACAACTGGACGGTCGCAGCCCGACCTCACGCAGCGATTGCGCTTTCTGGTCAGAGGCGCGCATGCTGCAGGCGTTCCCCGATATCGTCGCCCGCACGCGCAAGGCTCCAAATCTACCTCAAGCCCTGCGCTCCGTGAATATGAGTCTCTAGCAAAGTTCCCCTCAAGATAAGCATCAATTCGAGGCCAGTCCGGCGGTTGTGTTATTGCGCGATGAGAGGGCGGATGTCGACTCGAGCTTGTGCTGAACGTCAAGTCTTCCTCGGAGGTAGCTATCACCGCTGAGCGCGCGCGATCTATTGCGTGAGGCAAATTGATATTACCGGTGCGTGAATGTCATTTTTGGGATCAGGACTAGGACTGACGCTCCATTTGTTTACACTGAAGCGGTACCACAGATATATGATGCTTCATAAGATTCCTCCCTTACTCGTTATATCAAGTAATTTACATATTCAGCTTTACTCTGTTTCAAAAGTCCAATCGCAAATCATATCCTCCGCACACTCTCCATCTCGTAAGATAATGTCCAACCCCCTTTCCCGAAGTGTTTCGAGACCCCGAAGGGTCGTTGCGTCAGGGCCGGGGCCGGAACATACAAGCAACGCGGTCGTTTTGAGGGCGCAATGCTCCGCTTCCCAGCGGGACGTCATCAACTGCAGATACAGCTCATAATCGATGGACACCTTATCTTCGCATCCAAAAGACAGAACACGCAGCTGCGGAGCGAGAGTCGTGTCCCCCGCGTTCGTCGATGCCATGAGAAGTGACATCAAAATGTGGGCCTGTATGCTGGAACTGAGGTCGTCTACCGCAACTTCAAGCTCGACAATCGAGGGCAGTTTTTGCAAAACTTGAGCAATTATATTGCCGTCTGGGCAGCCCATAAAGCAAAGCCGTCGCAGAGGACCCGAGAAGCGCTCGAGCGAGGGTGCGAGATGCGATTGTATAGCAGGGCCATCGTCGTCGTCGTGCATTTCGACCACGATTTCTTCCACAATGGGCAATGTGAGGAAACGCGTGATGTCCATATGCGAGACGTATAGGCGCCGCAGACACACCAAGTCGATATTTACAACAGATTCCGGCCAAGGATCGTCGTTGAAGACGATGTGGATACGAGCCTCGACAAGGTTTGGGGTGAGCCTGAGGAATTTGTGGTGTACCTTCCATGAGACACCGATGTCGTAACGGGTAAGCTGGTGCCACGGAAAATGGACTGGTATCCAGCGGTGCGCGCCGCAGATCCCGGCATCGACCAAGGACGGTGCTGTCTGGAAACAATCGATCGATTCTGCGGCTGCCTGGCTCGCGGCATCGGACCACTCGATCCATACTCGTCGGAGCACAGGGATACGGTCTCGAATACCCGCCACAAGCGGGAAGAGAGCTGTAGTCAATGTAATACTGAATCCCTCCCATCGCCGTGTGTGCTCCATCAAAGACTGCAGCGCCTCCACTTGCGGCCGAGAGTCCGACGTCTGACATCCATAGAGATGAACATCCAACTTCGTGGCGCGCGCAATTTGGGTCTTGAGGGCAGACAATGGATAAGACGATGACGGATTTGCCACAGGATCGTAATTGAGGGCGACAAGGGACCACAACGACGCGGTCGAAGTCGCGACTGCCCGCCAATGTCGACTGATGTGCGTCAGGACCCATGGGCTGTCCAGCGGGCGGAAACTACAACGGCTGAAGTCCGCCGGCCTCTGGAGTGTCCACGAGAATATTTCTCCGAGTACCTCAGGCGGCAGCCTACGGAGTGGTGAGAGGATCGCGAGGTTCTGGTTACGGTAGCTCCGTAGCGATAACTGCTCCTCCTCCAGCTCTGTGGCGCATAACATGGCACCAGCTTGCTTTATCTCGTGAGCCAAACACTTCAAGCGTACATCGATCTGCGAGATCGCAGACTGGATGAAGGCGACGTCAGAATCGAGAGGTGCTACATTGGAGGTCAAGAGCTTGTGGTGTTGCGTTCCAGGAGCAGCACATAGTCGCCTCATGATATAGCAACCGCTCAGAGTCTGAAGAACGGACCAACGGTAAGTGGCACTTCTGCTGGACTCGGACTTGCAAGAAACTGATTACCTTGGAAAGGTGCTATTTGTTAGCTTTGGTTACAGACAGAGGGATCGAGTCGGGAGGCGTAGTGATATAATCCAAAGAGAAACAACGCGCAGACGAAGGTGAAAACGATAAAGAGACAATGGCCATTGGCAGTGATGTGATCAATGATGGTTAACCTGGATCTTCGATATGTTCTTTCGTGGGCACTTGCTCTACTCGGGTGGCATGAAGTACAAAGCAAGGCAAGTGTGCATGAAAGGTAAGATGAGCTTGAGGCACAACTAAAGATGAGTTGGTCTTTAAATTGCGGACAGTGCGGACAAGCCGAGCGAAGGTGAGAGCCAAAGATAGACGGACTTCTATCGGCCGCCTGGCGAAATGGCATCGCGTCTGACTACGACTTCATTACGTAATTTCGCATCAGGAGATTGCAGGTTCGACCCCTGCGGTGGTCAATTCTTTTGCCTTTTTACGCCTCTACAAACTTCATTTATTACCTCTTTTTTGAGCCTGTAAGACCGGAGAACAGTTGGGGAAAAAATTGGCAAAAAACGACTAAGTCGAAAGGGGGAATGGACTTGTCATTTTTTCAAACTCTACAGGCCCTCATCTTTGGTCCACCAGCGAACTGCTAGAAATTGGCAAAAAACGACTAAGTCGAAAGGGGGAACGGACTTGTGATTTTTTTGCTGAGCGGTACGGCACCCCGCGGATGTATTTTGGAATGAAACAATGTGTGCTTTACTTTCATTTGCTCAGTGTTCAAGTAACGATTCCGTTTTGTAGAACTGAGCACCAAGACAAACCGAGTAGGCATCTGCGATCCGAAGTGCCACATCTGGGCAATATCCTTTTTGAATGCCCGGGACATGAAGCGAGGTTTATCTTTATCGGCCTGGGTCACAAGGTACATGTATGTGCTACACCCGCTTCGATCCTCCCACCAGCCCCGGCGTTTCGTGTTCATATGTCGCCGGTGTTCAAAACATAAGGGAGTGGAATAGGAGATAAGCGTTTTGGCGCGGTATGATATGATATGATAGGCATTGGGCTGCGATCCTTGAGTGTCGGATCCGGGTGACAATGTTACATTTTGTGAGAGTCGAAACATATACAGCACTGTGGATAGACAGAGATAGACAGACTCGAACCTTGTAAGCTGGATGTTGCGAAAATGCCGGTGACCGGTCGGGACTTGAGAGCTTGAACGTTTTGAACGCCGGGTTCAGCGTGGTCGAACTCATGAGGTTCAATCCGGCCGGTCACCTGGACCTCTCGCTCGGTATAGGCCGAGGTGTCGGGGCGGATTTGCGTCTCCACTCGGGATTCGGGACGATGAGACTACCTTCACGTTACAAGGGGAGATAGGTGTCAAACTTGAAGCAATTCAACCCGCTCCAACCTAGAGATCCGCAAAGATGTGGAGATCCGTTTTATCGCGACCGGATGTGCAAGCGACAACGACTACCGTGCGTGGACAAGACTCTGAGAGATGTAAATGGAGAGCCCTTCTAGATTTTTGAACGCCGAGAGTTGATGGAGGTAGAGTTGAAATCCAGAGGTTCGGGAAGCCGAGTCGAGTTGTTTATAGTCATGTTCCCTTAATTAAGTGCGCATGCGTCAGGCCGTTGATGAACAGGTTTGTGTTCGAGAGAGAATGTGGATAAGTCGTAGCCACCGGTGAGCAACTGGTACATCGGTGTACATGTGGCGTCCAAAGTGAACGTTAAAAATTCGGTCATAGCTATGGAGACGGGCATTGACCGAAATTTACAAGGGGTAAGGCATTCGAGTTTCGAGTTACGAGTACACTGTTGTCCCATTCGGAGACCGGGGTAGTTGAACCCAGACACCAGCTGGTCTGAATGTTACTTGTTCGGGTGGGCTTGGGGTCGGAAGCACATTGTATTAGAGTTGGAACCCAAATATTCATTCGGACAGAGAGAGTAAGCGCAACTGAATAAAGTCGGGTGCCCATGGGTTTCGGAACCCTTCCACTGGTCGCTCGCCGCGGATACGAGTCATGGGTGGAAAGCGTCCAAGTGTCCGAGTAGGTCCCAGCACCTATAACAATTTACTATCATTCAGAGGGCCGATAGAAAGCGAGCTTACTGCTGTGGATGGCGCAAATAAAGCGGTTCAAACATTCAACATATCAATGAAACAAAACCCTTCCCTTACTAGAGCCCCTACTTGAGCCCAGACACGGGCCCGACGCCTCTTGTTTCGGATTCGCGCTATTCCTGGCATGGAGCGTCTCGGTGCTGTGATAGATAAAGAGGGGCTAGTACGGTGATCAGATCCCTGCGATGAAACAAACAATCAGGAACTCGTGATAGAGTGCGTCTGGTCCAATTCTGGGGGAAGGCTGATAGACGTATAGAGGTATCGCTGGCAGGGACTCGTGTCGCGCCACCATCGCACTTGAAAAGATCGAAGATGCAATCACTGGCACGAACTTCAAGATTATTTTCGCCCTTGGGAGAACGTGTTGCACCATTGAGAGATTCGCAGGCGGCTGGATTGGGTTTACGATGTCAATGAGGAGAAATTGGAGTGCGTGATTTTATCATTTTCGCGGGATGCCGCTCGGTTGTACTGAGGCGAGGTGGAGAGTTGAACGCCGCTCGGACGCCGAGATGGCCAGGTCAGACTGTAAAAGTCTTCTTGGGATAAATTTAGAGGTTCGGAATCGCATTATAAACGGGTTTCCATTGTCGTTGGTCAAATGAAACTGGTATGAGGCCATGGCCATCATTACTAAGTCGTGGCGGAGCTACCGGTGAATATTTGATCGTGGAGTTGCGCTGTAGATGTCGTACAGTGGGTCCAGCGGCCATAGCTATAGAGACAGACAGACTGCCGGTTTCCGGTCGGCGAGGCCACGTTTGGGGGACATGGCTCCAGTTGCCGTCAAACCCCCGCATGTATGAGCCCAGTTAAGAATTCAAAGTCGGCAGAGTTTTAACTGGAGTAATCTGGAGCTCCGACGTTGAGACTTGACGCACAATTTCCAGAAGTGTTGCACTTCGCCAGACGACTGGGTTTCAACCAAGCTTTTTTTTTTGGTGGCCGTGCGTCTCGCCATTCCGAGCTACAGTCTCGGTATTTTTTTGTCTGAACTGCCACAGCCTTCGACTCCAGGCACAGCGTCTATTCCGCATTCGCGCTATTGCTATTCCCGGCAAGATCATGACGAGCGTCCAGGTGCTGATAGGCAGATACTAAGATAAAGTATGGGTGTGAGTGCGGGAGGAGAACGGTGATTAGATTTGGCGTGGGTTGACGTGGGTTTGGGTCGTGTTCCAGGTGTTAGACGAAACACTGAAACAGAGAATCGTGATATGTTTATGTTGGATCCGAGGAACGAGAGAGGTATCAGTTGGATTAGTTCAGTTGGATCAGGAGAAAGAAGAAAGGAGAAGGAGAGGTACGTCGTCGCTCAGTGATGAAATAAGACGAGCATTTCTTAAGTTCGGCACGGTTCCAGCACACGCCGGACTTAGAGACGCGGCGGTCTTAAGTCCCCGGTATGTTGCGTAACAGGTATGTCTCACCCGCACTGGCAAGGGCGAAACCTCGACTTAAGATCCCCGCACTCAAGATTAAGAAGTCGGAATAATAATCCATACAGTTGAGATCAGGAAATTAACCTCCTGCGAGAACTTAAGACGGTAAGAACTTAAGACGCTAAGAACTTAAGACGCTAAGAACTCAAGACGAGATCTCTAATTCCACCACGACTTTTACAGCTATTCAGAATTTCTTGTACGCCCGCTCTACTCCCTGGAAAATGACTCGCTAAGCTGGTAACAGAAGAAGCCATTCGAGATGCACACACCATATCATCCATCCAGCGAAACACCACGTTGCGCCACTCATCAATTTTGACCACCAGCTCGTCAAAACTCGGGACCTCGTCGTCCGTTAAGCCTGAGACCCAGTCGTGATGTGCACCCGACTCAGGGCTCTTGAAAGTCACTGTCGCGTTGTGTTCGAGACGCTTGAACATGGCGGCTTGCATCATCGCGAATGTGGAGGAGCCATTCACACCTGATCTGTGCTCCTCGCCTCCTGCTCGTCCCACCCACACAGCGCGGTCGCGTCGAAACCTCATGATCAGACGCCACAGCTCTGCATGCTTCCGCTCGTACTGCTCGAGCCAACGATACATTTCAGCTTCAGCACGCAACCATTGCACCTGGTCGCCTTTAAACAGTGTCAGAAATCGACATCAGTAGAAGAAAGAAGAAATAGTACGCACTTTCCCGCTTGTACTCCTCTAATTTCGCGGCACCAAGCTTCTGCCCTCTAGTAATGTTCTCGAGCCAGATCCAGCCGTCTGACCTTTTCACTGCCTTCTTCGTGTCTGTGTTCGTTTTCCCTTTCCCGTGCTTCCCCTTCGCCGGCGTCGAGGTGGACACGCCTGTATCACTCTCCTCGGCTTCGGATAGCAATATCGGCTCCACTATCACGCCGTCTGGTGCAATATCTTTTAGACGTTTCGATGGCCGGGGGGACCTTGCGGAGCCTGTAGTGTTGTTAATATCAGGGATTTATTGAGAGATCCGGCTGTACCTGAACGCTTGAGCGTCTGAGTACCGGCTAGTAGCGTTGGCGCATCCTCCTTCGTCGATCTGGCCTTGACAGGGGACATCAAGAGCTTACTCGCGCGCGAGAGCGATACACCGCTCTGCAAGTACCAAGCTGTGCCGTCAAATAGTCGCGAGTCCCCCTTCACACGATGCAGGTGCGTCTCCTTCCTGCGCGTGTCCCGATGGGTGAGTGGCGGATAGGGCTCGGTGGCATCCGGTGACATGTGCCCCAAATTGATGAGAGCAGCGCGCGCCCGGTTATACATTGTGATCTCGTAAGTCTTCATGAGTTCCGCTTTCTGGAGGTTACGTTGCGAACGCGTGATGCCCGCCTGGCCCCGATAATCGAGATCCCGTGCCTTCTTCACAGCAGACAACGCAAGGGAGGCGGCTTGAACTGCGAGAATACCAGCGTTCGCCTCGCTACACCGCAGCTTGACTTCCGCTTCTTGCAAGTGAAAGTGCTCTGCGCGATCATCACCCAGACCAGTGACACTGCGCTGGCCATGTTTAATTCGGTAAGAAGGAAGCTGTACGGCCGTCAGCTCCGGCTCGTCCACGTCGAGAGCGCTGAGCTTCAAGCGTGGATAGATTGCCAGCTGGCGTTCCCGGAATTTCTTGAGATCAATATTCAGGGTATCGCGTAGCTTGGTGATGGCGGCCCACGTCTCCTGCAAGGGATGTTCGTGGTGGCTTCGGAGTAGGGCGACCACAAGGACTCTGTGTTAGAGATGATCAGACCTTTGTTGGCGAATGATAAGTGACGAGGACTCACTGCTCCCTCTCAACGCTCATTCCATCATGAATCCACTGCGCCACCGGCGTGTCCGCTTCCTCCCCGTCTGTGCGCGCCAGTTTCT